CAGTCGCTCCAGAAAGCTATGACATTGCGGTAGTGGTATCGCCGAGGGGAATGAAATAGAGCAACGAAAGCAACAAATTGGCAACTTCAAGACTCATTTTCGCCTATTTTCGGAATTGGAAAGACCATACAAAAAATTTCAACGTTTACTCATTTCATAGTGCAGTTATGGGCCTGCAAACCATTTTCGCCCGCGAAATTAGAAAATAGGTTCCTTCTCTTCGCCTACAGTTGCTCTTGCAATCGTGTTCTCACAGAAGGTGCGCCCACCGCATATTTTTTTTTCAACCGGAGCTAGGTAACGTTGATGTGCCTGGACAGCAGAAAAATAGCCCCCATGAATAGGAAACAACAACAACAACATAAATAAAATAGCTTTGGAAGAAATCATGACAATATAAGATATTTTTTTGGACAAACGCGACCAGATTTCAAAAAAAGATATATATCTGCGAAGGCGATCATACTGAACCAGAAAATTCTTTAATTTGCCAGCGCCACTTGTGCAAAGAACGTCAGTGATCGGCCTTCACGTCAGTTCATTAATCACAGGTATTTCTGCTTACCCGCACACCCGTAGGAAACTTGTTTACAGCCACCAGAAGCTGATGTGTGACCAAATGTTGAAGCAATCGTAAGCCACAGAATCGAAACAATGCCGATGGAAAATGAAAACCCAAAAAGCAGTTTATCAGCTTTCATACCCTCACAAACGGATGCTTCTTTGGACTTCTACCTAAAGAGAACAGTTGATTTCATTACCAGAGGTTCCCTTTGCACTCCCTTTTAAGCGATTATACATAAAGCCAAGCTTTGCGAGACAAGGTATATTGCGTGTCTTCCCGGAATAGGAAGATTCACGGCCTATTCCAATCCGACAGATAAATACACAAGATCCATGTGAAAATTTTGATTCACATATACTGCTACATAACTATAGAACTGAATGAGGCAAGTCTAATGAGTATTCGTTTTGAATAGCGAAAGTATCATCAGTTTTAAAGAGTTGTCTTGACGCAGTGCATAGAATTCGATAACATTATCAGTCTTATCAAAAGAATAAGAAAATGACTAGTAAGTTTTGTACCACGTCGGATACTCTACATAAAATAGCATATCCAACTAAGCCCTATGAGAATTGATGACTTCCAATAACTATAACGAAAATTATCAGTCTGATACGATATATGACAAATGCGGGTTCATTATACCACCACTCCGACAACCCGAGATTTCTGAATTTCATACCAGCCATGTACTGAAAATTTCCGTCAATCCTGGAATAGAAGTGAGGTTGTTGAACACTCATACAGCCATGAATCTCGGGTCAGATTTCTGAGTTACTGTTCAATGTACCTTTACAAGAACCGTGGGTAGCCTTTCGATAATGCTACGCTAGACACAACAAAGATGATGACTGAATTTTTTTCGTGGAAAAATGATAACAGCGTCAATGCTAACAGCATCGGGCATAAAGTGGTCACCTTGTAGGTGTATGTGTAGGTAGGTAAAACAAAGTAGTAGAGAACCTGTGAACGTCAGCTAGGAAAGAGGCTATAAGCTACGTTATCACCTTCGACAAGGAGCGACGGTGCGGAAGCTGCTTCATTTTCTCTTTTTGCTCCCTTTAAAGACGCACCAAAACATGAATCATTTTCCCACCACCTACCACTGCATACGCAATTTAATGTTTTCCTTTGGTGGAAATCTCAACAGATTTTCACATTCGAACACAAGAACAAGTGAACTGGTTGAAAAATAAAAATACTACAAAATCAGCAATGAAGAGACGATCGAAGACCGTCGAAAGTATTCGAATAATCGATCGATTCTCGGTTGAAGGCACAATTTTCAGCAGTTTCCTCGCGACATTTTGTACAATTCGACAGGGGCGTGCAACAGATAGAACACAAAGATCGGAGCGATTCAGAAGAATCTGCTGGAAATTGTGCTTCCAATCTTGCACGATAAATCTTTGGCAGAATACAATTGCTAAACTTCCAACTCGGCAGATCCATGCTTTGAAGGTTTGGANGAACCTCAGCAAAACGCTGCCTGCATACATATAATGGCTTGCAAAGAACGAATGTGCTTTTCTAGTTTGAAAAGCACAGGAAGACATTACGATTAACGTTTCGGAAACTATTCAGTTGTATATGGGTAATGCTATTGCGAGAACTTTTCCAATCCGTAAAAGTCAGACAGACTATTTTCCCACACAATTTTCGTGGCGCTTTATCTTTTCATAGAAAACCGTTTCAAAAACGATTGTTGACGTGACTCCATACCAACCGGATCAGACTGTTTCCATTCACCTTTGCGGTAGATTCGCAAATGTTATGCAATGTACAAATGAATAATCATCCTTAGTTCTAAGTTTTCAGGACAAACGTTAAATAAAACTAAACAATTTCGAGGTGATCCATTTGGTAAAAGACGAAGATATTTTCATCTATTTGGGAATGGCAGCGCTTATGTGAATTGGTATAAAACGTTAAAAACCTTAGCCCACTTGGTGAAAGTCAAACTATTCGAAAGCATCAAACAGAAACCCCCTCTGTCCCCCTCTGGACTATTAAAATGATTTAGTGCGAGCTTAACAAATAGCAAAATAAAAATGGGATCCCGAAGAAAAGTGCAAAAACCATGAACAGAAAGAACAATGACATGACCTACTGCAATTACAACATAGGGGCTAATAAATGAAGCTTACTAGTTAGAAAACATTCGAGAGGAAGCCTACGAACAAATGCTCGTATCCAAACAAGAAACAATTGGCGAAATCCAACCGGTGCCGGGGGGCCTAGCACTGGACCGCCGACAGGGCGGCGTTCCGCTCCGTGCCGCCTGCTCGGCCTCTGCTCTGCGTCCCTGACTTGATTTCTCATGTTGCCCGCTACCCTCCACCGCTGTCTACGCTCTCTCGCCTTTTGTCTTCTTTACCCAGACGCGGGAATTGGAATATTTCAATATTGCCGCTGGGATCATCATATTCATCACTTCGTATTTGTTTCTTTTTCTTTCTTTATTCATTTTTTCCCTCCCTTCTCTTTCAAAAAGCCGACGCCTTCGTAGAGGCAAAAATCCCACTGCAAGAGATCGCGTTTAAAATCAGGATATAAGTTGTTGTGAGACCGAAAGTGCCGGTTTTTGCCGAGTACTGTAGAACGATGCTGATTGGGTTTCCACTTGATGTGTTAATCCCTAGATATTCTATTACTTGGAAATTTTCGCTCATAATGAATCTGTTGTGAATGGTATCCCTTGAATGCCCCAGTTTGAGGGAATCATTATATTTCAATACTAATGTTTAACCTTACTCTTACTGTTTGGAGTTAAATTTTTCATATAACCTCCAACGCCTCATTGCCTGCCAGAAATTCGAAAAAGTTCGCGTCC